ATCATGGGGGCCCCCACGTTGCCCGAGTCAAAATCCCGAGGGTCTGCAATATGAGCGACGCCGGCACATTCAGACTGGCCGTAGCCTTCGACAAGGGGAAAGTCCAGCGCCACTCGAAAGAAGTTCATCACGTCTGGCGACACTGGGGCCGACCCCACAGGAAGGACCTTGCACCGATCGAGCCCCAACTTTTGTTGCACCTACGACAGCGAAGTGTTAGTGGTGGAGGTTCAAGGTTCAGAAACCTTGGAAAAGATGAGCTTGTCAAACAATGGATGGCCCAAGTAGCCTTGCTTCAAGTTGCCCAGTTTGGCTTGCAACGCCCAGTTGAATAGCCACGCCTTGACACCCCCAGCAGACTTGGCGGATATGACAACCTTGTCGTAGATCTTGTTGAGGAGGCGCGGCACCGTGGGAAACAACGTAGGGCGCAGCGCACATAGATCTTCGGCCAGTTTGAGTGTGTTGCCTTGATAAAAGCCAATGCGAGCACTGTAAGTGATCATCACTGCAACGACCACGTGCTCAAAGATATGAGCGAGTGGAAGGTAGCTCAAGTGCACGGCGTTCTCGTTCATCGTCTCCAGGACAGCTCCGTGCGCAATGCGTTCAAGTACACCTTGGGTGCTCGACATGATGTTTTGGCTGGACAACAAGACACCCTTGGGATCCCCCGTGGTACCGCTCGTGTACCTAATCAGAACCCATAAGAAACAATATGAGAGAACGATAGCTGTGACGGCGGGCAATGTCGTCGTACATCAAAAAGCACGGATCCGTGATCTTGGCGTAGGTCGGGGCGATGGGAAAGCGAGCGCCAATGCCTTCCAACTGGACATTGGTCCACACAGTAAGTCCCGCGGCCGTGGCAGCAGATACGTCCACGTCTTCGGTGGAGGCGACGTCCGTCAGCACAACGTGCTTCAAGCTCCGGCAGCCGGCCTTGGCCTGAAGGACGCTTTGGAGCTCCAGCGTGGTGCACACAACCGTTTGCACATCAGTGTGGTTCAGAATGAACTGCGTGGACGACGCGCCCAGCGTATCGTACAGCGACGAAACGAACCCCCCCGCGTACAGCACGGCGTACTGGAACAGGAGCCACTCGGGGCGATTCTTCATGTAGATGCACAGGATGCGATGGCCGTCGGCAGTTGGCTCCATGAGCTTTTCATGGCGAATGCCCGCGGCAAGGTTTTGAATACGCTCGTACGTCTACTTGATGCATGAGAGAGGCAATGATTGGGTTGGTATTGTTCACCTCTTCGTACGATTCCCATACATAATCCCCAACAATGCCATTCACCACCGGGCGATGGCCCAAGAACGCTCTTGTGGGGAAGCGTCGCACGGCTCGTTGGAGCAGCTCCAACATGGAGTTGGCAGGTAGCGACGGGTATGACCCGACCTTGTGCACTGGCCCGTGGCCGGGCTTGGCGGTGGACAAGTCACCTTCCGAGTACACCGATGGGGGCGTGGTCTTCCTTGTAGGTCGGAAACAGAAGATATACATCGTGGCTAACGTCACGGCCAGGAGGGACGTGGCCGTAGCTATGGCCGCGGAGGCCACTGTCATGATCGACTTGATGACTGGTTGACTTGACAGTTGAATCTAAGGTACCGGTACTGCCAACGTTGGGATCGTACCAAAACCCTTTAAATTTAATCTTTGCCAAATACCTGGAGTAAGTTTCCTTTACTGTAAGTTCTGTGGTTAATGCAGAATTTCGCATGTCAATTCTTGTGAAACGTGAATTCCTTCTTAATAAAATGATACATTAGTACTACAGTATATTATTAATGAAGTACTATTAATAGTAGATGTTTTCCGCAACGTTGATATCAATTGACATAGTTTATCCCAATGGTCAGTTCATCAGATACTGTTCAATACATACTACCTCCGATTGGAATTGATTGATAGGTTTCTCTTTTTTGAGCCTTGAACAACTGTATCTCAGTCAAAATAGGAGAGAATTTCACTAGAAATCCGATTTATGACAATACCTGTATAATATAATAATAATAGAACGTAACCGGTAAACCTATCAATCATTTCCAATCAGAAGTAGTACTAACTTACAGTTAGGCTTACTACTTCGAGGTGTATTACTGTAATAGTGCGTACTTCGTACTATTACTAGGTATTGCTACGTAGTATAGTACTACATACTACCAGTAGTATTTGAACATGTACTACCTCAGCAAGATCTACGACAAGGTCGGTGCAAGGTCCTTCCTGTGGGGTCGGCCCCAGTGTCGCCAGACGTGATGAACTTCTTTCGAGTGGCGCTGGACTTTCCCCTTGTCGAAGGCTACGGCCAGTCTGAATGTGCCGGCGTCGCTCATATTGCAGACCCTCGGGATTTTGACTCGGGCAACGTGGGGGCCCCCATGATCTCGACCGAAGTCAAACTCGTGGCGGTGTCCGACATGGGGTATGAGCCCACCGACACGACCCACGGCGAGGGGGAGGCGCAGTTTCCCGTGTGCGGCCGCGGCGAAATCTGTTTTCGAGGCCCGACGGTCTTCTCGGGGTACTTCAAGGACCCCGTGCGCACCAAGGAGGCGGTGGACGCGGACGGGTGGCTCCACTCGGGGGACATTGGCGTGTGGCTGCTGGACGGCCGGCTCAAGATTGTGGACCGCAAGAAGAACATCTTCAAGTTGAGTCAGGGCGAGTACGTCGCGCCCGAGAAGATCGAAAACGTTGTCGCAGGCAGCGACTTGGTCGCCCAAGCGTTTGTGTACGGGGACAGTTTGCATGCCGTGCTGGTAGGCATCGTCGTGCCAGAAGTAGACACTGTGGTCAAGTTGGCCAAGTCTTTGGGGATTGCAAGCTCAGATATCGTGGAGTTGTGTCAACATGACGAGGTGGGAACACCAGCATGTCGTTAAAGAGAGGGGTCGTTAAAGAGAGGGGCACACAACGTTTGAGAGTTGATTGTTGTGTAGGTGGTGGCAGCGGTGCACAAGGACATTGTGCGCGTGTGCAAAGCCGCGGGACTCCACAGCTTTGAGACGGTCAAGACCATCGCTTTGCACCCGCAGCCGTTCTCCGTCGACAACGACCTGCTCACCCCCACGTTTAAACTCAAGCGCCACGACGCCAAGAAGGCGTTCTTGCCCACCATCAACGCCTTGTACTCGCAAGTGGGGGATCTCGTGGGCGGCCACCACGTGTTGCAGGCGTAGAAGTAACTTACAACTGAAAAACAGGAAGGTTGGAACGCTTGCTTTGTGGGCGTTGGTATCGCGAACATGCCTAAGCTAAACACTCAAATCAAGACGAGAATGGCTGTAACGTTACGGACACTACAGTCAGTACATACATTCATGTTGACGCTGTTGCTGAATGCTGCAGCGTGACGACTTGGTGGCTTTGTCACCTCCACAACCTCCGGAAGCCTATCGCAACCATCAAAACAAATACACTACAGAAACAGTTTATGAGGGAGGATAAGTATGACGACTAAACAAATATACTACAGAAACAGTTTATGACGATAAGTACGACGACTACTGTACCGGTAGAACCATGCAAGTCCTGTGAACATTTTGAACAGTATGTGTGTATATTGCCATGCTAGGAGTGTCCGAGAGTGTGTATTGTCGGTAGTTCGATGGCTATCACACGAGCGATTTCAACGCCCCAATCATAATTTGTATATGTCAATTCACCTGGCGTGGGCAGTTTGGGTGGTTGTTTACTAGTGTACATACTACAGTAATATGTCGTGCACACACAAACGCTGATGGGTCAACACGTAAGTAGTGTGTACTAGTATGTATATCGAGATGGGATTAATTTAGGGATGGTAATTCACCAGTCTGGCGATTTCGGGGTTGCCAACGCGATCACCGTGTCTGCCGTCGACTCGTTTCGCTGCCGATGGCTCGGGCGATGGCGAGGCGTTGCTTCTGCCCCCCGGACACCTGAAGCCCCTGCGCCCCCACAGGGGTGTCGTATTTGTCTGGGAACTGCATGATAAAATCGTGGGCGTGGGCTAGCTTGGCCGCGGCTTGAATCTCGTCGATCGACGCCCCTGGTTTGCCCATGCAAATGTTGTCTAGAACGGACCCGGAGAAGAGCACAGGTTCCTGCCCGACGATGGCGATGTGATGGCGAAGGGACTGCACATTGAGAGTCGTGTCCGTCCAAGCGCACGACGCCGGCGGAAGGATCGTAGAACCGTTGGATTAAACTCATGGCGGTGCTTTTGCCGCTGCCACTGGCCCCCACGAGTGCAAGTGTGTGACCGCTCAGAATCGTCAAGTTGTAGTTGCTGTACACGGTATTGTCCGGTCGACGAGGGTAGTAAAAATCGACCAATTCCAGCTCGACGTGTCCCTTTACGTGCTCCAACACAAGTCCAGTTGCCGAGTCCGAACTGTCGATGGTTGGCTGGCGATCCAGGATGCCAAAGAGGCGGTTTGTGGCCATCGCTGCCGCCCCCGCGTCCCCCAAGCCTTGCGCCGCTTTCCCCAGCCCAAATGAACAAAACAGGATCGGGTTGAATACTATATACACGCTGTGAAAGTCCAACCCGTTGTTCAGGACCAACCATCCGCCATAGTACAAGATGCCGGCCATGGCGTACAGCGTCAGTGCCTGGGATGCCGAGTACGCAATACCACCGACGAGGCCAGCTACCTGATCCGTCTTGGCACTGGCTTGGAGGTGGTCAAGGTACCGCTGATCCATGAATGTTTGCAGATTTAAGGACGCCACCGAGCGAATCGAGTGGAGGGCTTCGCTTAGAATCGCGCCGGCTTGCACATCGCCGTCGTTGGTGTTCTTCGTGGCTTGCGCCGTGAGCATCCGCACCTGTAAGCCGTACGCGGCGCCCATGACTGGAATGACCGCCACAAACACCAGCGCCAGTTGCCAGCTGTAGTAAAAGGCCACCGCAAACGCCACCGCGACCGCTGCTACGTTCATCAGCATCGCATTCAACGATTCGGCAGTCATGGATCGAATTGAGGCGGCGTCGGACGCCAGTCGTGTCGAGAGGGCGCCGGGGGCGTTCGCTGGCATGTCAAACCATGTCATGTCCTGGTGCAACATGGCCACGAAACACTTGTGGCGTACACGACCAGTGAGGCGCTCGCACACAATGGCAAACTGGTAATTTTGCACTGTCGCAGCTCCAAACGCGATAACGCCGAGGACGACGAGCCCTACGGACCACATCAAGGCCTCGTCGCGCATGCCGTGAGACCCGAGGTTGACTTGGAAGAACACCATCATGCTCTTGGTCAAGAGCACCCCCCAAAGTGGGTACATCGCCCCGTGCACCAACGCCCCCAAGCTTCCAAGCACCAAGTGGAACGATTCGGGGGAACTGTAGGCCCACAGCCGAGACATGGAGACTTGTGGTGCATCGATTATACCCACAGACTCTACTTGGGTATCGATTTGTATTGGTTGTGCTCCCCCCACCACGGTCGCTTGGGGCGTGATATCGTCCACACGCTCATCGTCCGAGTTGCTGTCACACTGTAATTGAGCGTCGACCAGTTCTTTGTAGTACCCATGGTCAATGGCTAACAGACTCTCGTGCGTGCCATCTTCAACGATGGTTCCCTGACTTAGCACCACGATGCGATCGGCGTGGCGGATTGTGGACAAGCGGTGGGCTACGATGATGGTGGTGCGCTGTCTCGTGTCGACGAGGCGATCGAGTGAGCTTTGCACCACGCGTTCACTCTCCACGTCTAATTCACTGGTGGCTTCATCCAAGAGTAGCACTGCGGGGTTCTTGACGATGGCGCGGGCGATGGCAATTCGTTGCTTCTGCCCCCCAGACAGCTGCGCCCCTTGTCCCCCCACCTCTGTGTCAAAGCCCCCTGCAAACGCCATGATAAACTCGTACGCGTTGGCCTGTTTGGCGGCGTCGATAATTTCGGCCATGGTAGCATTCGGTTTTCCATGTCGAATGTTGTCTGCAATGGAGCCCGTGAACAAAGTTGGTTCTTGCCCCACGAGGCCTACGTGACTTCGCAGCCATTGAACGTCCAGTGACTTGAGGTCGTGGCCGTCCAACGTCAGCGAACCTTGTTGTGGGTCGTAAAAGCGCTGGACCAGAGACACGATCGTACTCTTGCCGCTGCCACTACCCCCCACGAGAGCAACCTTTTGACCAGCTGGGATCGTCAATGAATAGCCAGCACACACGGGTACATGTGGTCGGGATGGATACGCAAACTGCACCGCGTGCAAGCCAATGTGTCCTTCCAAGTGGTCCAGAAATCTGGGGGGCACTTCACGAACCATTGGACGCATGAGTTGAAACATGTCGCTGGTAGTCGCTTTGGCTGTGGCGATGGCTTGGAGGCAAGGGCAGGCTTGTCCCAAAGCCATCGCGCCGATCGACACGGCAAAGAAGGCCGTAATGAATTCCCCCCGGACAAACAATTGGTTGTGCATAATGGATCGTTGGTGTCGAAGCGATCGTTTGTGACGAGCACAGTGCCGTAATACATGGCCACCGCATACGTGACCAGCGTGATTAAGTGCACGCCGCCCGTGCCTATGCCAACCGCCAGCCCTTTTTCAATACCAGCGACTTCGGCGCAGCGCACAGCTGCTTTGTATTTGTCGGCCATGAACGCCATGGCATTGAGCATTTGCACCGTTTTGATGTTGGTCAAACTCTCTTCGACTACCCCCCCCCGCTTGGGCGTACGAGGCCACCCCGCTTTGGGACGCGGCCGAGATCGCTCGAGTCATTCGAATCGCGCTGAGCCCAATCAAGGGCGTGAAAGCCACCATGACCAGCGCAATTTTCCAGCTGTACGAGAACGCGATGGCAAACCCTGCGATGGCCATGGCCACAAAGTTGATGCATTCGCCGACTTTACGCCCCATTCCGTCTTGAACCACAAGAGTCGCGTCCGCCACCTGCGTGGTCAAGTCGTGGGGTTGTGCAGGTCAAACCATCCAATGTCTTGGCGCAACAGGGCGCAAGCATACGCATGCCGAATGCGCTTGGCTTGACGTGAGGCACTGATGCTCCACAACGCAATCTGACCGAACCCCCCGACGAGCTCTACCGTTCCCAACGCAATGCCTTGGTACACAACGTAGTTGATGCTTTGATGGAACGCGTCGGGGTCGACTACGTGGCCGCCCAGGGACGCGCTAAACGATGTGACAGCGTCCCCAAAAAAGATCATTTGCAAAGGCAAACTCACGCCCGTGGCCATGGCGGCAATCGAGCCCAAAATCATGAGCACATAGTCCACGGTGTCGGCATACTGGAAGAGCTGGGCGAATGTCACAGGTAGGGCAGAGGCTTCGAGTGGGGTGTCCAGCTTGTGCTGGGATGATGTGGGGGTCTCCACTGAAACAAACAAGTCGTGCATGCTATGTTCGTCTCGACAATAGGAAAATGACGACTGGTATATCGTACCGTTAGTTTCGGTGCCATGATACTAGTATTGGTGCATCGACTGGCCATAATTATTGGTGGATTGACTTCTTGAGTTTATGATTGACGCAGCTGGTAACGTTATGGTTGTTTTTCCGCGAGTGTCTCCTTGTGCCTCTGCCAATATATACAGTATATATATATACCGTATATAATATATGCGACTTGTCCACGACACTTTTGGGACAATCCGCCTGACTGGTGGTAGGCAATCAATCGCGTTATAGCCCCAACAACTTCAGCTGTGATTTACTGTAGTTCAATAGCCCAGTTGAGTCGTGGTGCTAATATTTGCTTCTCACGTAAACATGGGATCTTCACAAATACAGTACGTATGGTGCTGTTGTGGATTGAGGCATCGGGTACTACAGGTAGACTCCGTACTGCACTGAACTTGTGTATCGTCAGTCAAGTACTTCCGAGCAAACCACCGAGTTTTGGAAGTTCTGCACACTAAGGTTATACGTATACCAAAGAGGTTCGAACGAACGACGCTTTGCAACTTGGGGCATTCAAGGGTGTCCCAAGCATTGGCACGAACGATCAAGTTGTATACTACTAGTAGTAATTAGTCCCAGTCGCCAAGTAACGTTACTTCATTTTTACTCTTTGTGCTTACGGTAGGGACATGGAGTGTTCAGAAATCTTATCCTTGTAGCCATCCATTCAACATCAGTCCATACCACAACTGGGTATTTCCTTAAACCCACGAAAATTCATCGCTTGTTGCTGGTTGCGCGGCATCAATTACTGTGCTACCTCGTGATTCGAAAATCTGAAAGATCTCATGAGCAGAGCGGACTTCTTACAGTACATACCGGTATCCATGGGGGATGCACAATGTGTCGCTGGCTATGTACTGTATGTATGGAAGGAAGCATTTACCATGTCTCGGTGCTAGCGACCAGGACGTTACAGCAGTGTTCGTTGGCATGGTCAAAAATGTACATACCGCGCCTGTATGGCGGCACTTCGCTTTGGCGTATACTACTCTGTGCTTTACAATGTTAATATAACGTACATTTGACTCAGATGGGTGTGTTTTAAAATAATGCACATTTTGTTTGGCCAATGGAGAGTCACGAAACAAATATTTTCAGCCAATCAAAGCAAAACCAAGTGTTACGTCGAAATACATCGATGTCATTGGTGGATACCTACCAATCAAAAGCTGTAGATGACACACTGCATCCATTTAATTGGCGGAAAAAATCTGCTGATCAGATTAGGGTGGGTGTGATTATTTAAGTGGTTGTTATTATTGTGCTTTCGAGTGAAATTTCGTGTTGTGGCATGGTTTCTGGTTGGAATTTAAATCGATTTGATTGGCTACCTCAGATGAACTCAAAATTATTAGCCAATGAAAAGCTTCTCAATGAAATTCAACCAATCAGATCGATTGTGGATCGGTTTGGTCCGCGAGATTCGATTGCACCCTCCCCAAATTTGTATCAAATCGACAATATGTCATTTATGATCGAATCGCTTTATTAAAATAACAGGAGGATCAGAATGAACGCCAGCTTTCGGTAGCCAATCGAAAATCACAATTTGGCCCAGGGGTCGCCGTGATAGGCCAAATTTCCTCAAATGTACACTATTAAATAAGCACAGAGTAGTATCTCCTTAATTGCACTGACATTTTACGAGTGGAATTCCCAGCGATACTGTACCCTGTCCTGACTACAGACAGTATTTCGGTGAGTTTACTGTAGCGGGGGATGGGGCCATTCACCTTTGCATATTGCTCAGTCGCCACTCAACGCCACCGGGGCGAGGCGCAGGTCCCTCCACGTAGGACTTGGACGCTGGTGTCCAACGAAGCTGCCCCATGGTTATAACGAGATAATTCTGTGCCATGGCACTGGTACAGTACAAAGAAGGGGTGTTGCGTGGGGTAGTGTAGTGGGGTGAGATTTGTGCGGGCGCCTCAACGGCTACATACTACGTAGTTACTAGTATTACTACCACTCGCCATGCGCATCGGCGCTTGCTTATTGGGCAATGACACTGAGGGGCACTTGTTATACCAAAGATAACTGCCACAAGACAGAAGTGGTGGTTGGTCATGCAGATGAACTCTGACGACCCTCGTTTGGAAATCATTGACGAAATCGTACTAACATTATTGCAAATCTCGCGCTTTAACGTATGATTGCCCTTCATGCACGAGATCAACGAACGTCCGTAGCAAGTCCGTTGTGCCCGATGACGTTTAAATTGTGTGTACAGTACAGTGAATGAACCAGGGACTACTGTATGCTATTGCATTAGGTCAGAGATTACTGACTGATGCAGGGCTAGCGTTGAGTTGTGGACTCGCGCGAGTTTTCAATGAATTATGCTCAAATATTTTCCAAGAGCATGATAGCCAACTGCCACTTCTGCCTTGTGGCAGTTAGCTTAGAACCTTTTCGAGTTAGTGTAATTCTTGACCAGCAAAACTGTATGGCGACCTCCCAACCTGCTCGACAACACTGGCACGTGGTGGTGGAAGTTCCGCCCGCACAAATCTCGCCCCAGTACCCCACGCAACTCTACGGTATAATTGTTCACGTAGCGGGTTCCTTCATCTGTGCGTTTATTCGACTGCCATTCGTAGCCACTGGTAAGTCACCTACTGTATCTTGCTCTCGTTGACGATGTCGCTGCAGGGAAGCTACTTTGGACGGCGGCGACTTGTGTCCATTTTCAGGCTGCATTCAAAATGGCAACGCGGTGGTGAGCGTTCTCAAGGTACGTACTAATGCCCCCTTTGATTCTATGATTATTCCAACTTTGCCCTGGACGACACTACCAACAATGGGGCGAAAAGTGATTCGTTGGTCAGCGTCCAAGTTCTGCATCGAGGCCCGTCCGCCCTCGATCTCGTGGTGCACAAAGACGTCAGATTTGTCACGGGCTCGGTGGCCGTGCACATACACCGCACATGTGGGTGCACAATGGCTTGTGGCTCCAGCACCGAGCCAGGCGATCAAAGGAACGCGCCCCCCACCTCCCCCTTCGGCCGCTGTGGCTCGACTTGTACACTAGCCACACCACGCAACTGGAGGCGTTCGCAGCGTGGTGCGGGTTCGCCGAAGGCTTCGACCTCGTAGACAATTTGGTTGGCGTCGTCGTGTTGAGGGCAGGTCGGTACTGCATTCACATGCAGGGGGAGTTTGCCAAGGTCCATGGCCTCAATGCCGTGACGATCTTGGTCAATTCTTAGAGGGTGGCCACGTCCAAGCAGCTGGCCACAGCAGACAAACAAGTCGACGTGACGACCGTGGTGTCGTTGCGGCAAGGCGACGTCGTGCGAGTCCAAACGCTAGGCCCGAAAGCGGTCCTCGCATCGGGGGCTATCCTCAACATGTACGAGCTGTATGTGTACTAGTGCCACATCCAGGGCATGTATCGATAGTGAGATAGTAATATTATTGTCAAGTCAATTCGAAATTGCTTAGTGGGGTGCTCACGAATCGATTGAGCAGCACCAAATCGACACACAATCGATCGACCAATCAAAATCGACAACACGAATAATCAAGCAGCCAATCAAATCCACTCTTCGACCCATTCAACATCAAATTAGAAAAAAATCGGTCAAGTTTTACATACAAACGTCTGCACAATGAATCCAGCGATAGATTTGGCGAATCAAGTCCAAATTTTGGGTAAAATGTCAAGAACGTTTTACAGTCTGTCCGTACCAGTATTAATATACTCAACCTACAGGAAACTCGGAGTAACTATATATATATATCCATATTATTCCGGCAAGGACAGCAAAAACAATACTACGCGAGGTTGGGATGATCCTTCATTCGCCTTGCTTGATATTTTTGCCCGCAACGAGGTCGCCCGCCTTGTCGTACAAGGCATCGATTTGCGTCGAAAACAATTTCTTGGCGTCGTTGCGTTTCAGCTTAAATGTCGGCGTGAGCAAATCGTTTTCAACGGTGAAATGCTCGGGGTGCAGCAGAATCGCCCGCACCGTTTCAAATCCACTCAACGCGCCCTTCTTGCCCACGGCCACAATGTCCTTGTGCACTGCCTCCACCACCTACACACACACATATATTTATATATATAATACAACTTCTCTCTCTCTCTACCTTGGGATGCCGACACAAGTCTATCAACGACCCCGATACGTTGAGCGAGTCAGCCAACGTCTTGAGCTGGGCTGCCTCGGGTACAATGATCCCCACCAGTACCGCATGCAAACTGTCGCCGTACACGAACGACTGGCCCACGTAAACACTCGCTTTGATCACGTTTTCAATCTTCTCGGGCGCGACGTACTCGCCCTGGCTCAGCTTGAAGATGTTTTTCTTGCGGTCTACAATCTTGAGCCGACCGTCCAACGTCCACACGCCAATGTCCCCCGAGTGGAGCCATCCGTCGGCATCGATCGCTTCCGCCGTCTTATCTGGCGCCTTAAAGTACCCCGAAAAGACCGTCGGGCCCCGGAAGCAGATTTCGCCGCGGCCGTTCACAGGTATCTTGTTGACGTTGCCGTGTACGGAATCCGTCACTAGGTAGCTATGTCGTTTTGTGATGAGTTGTTTTTCGTGTCTAATAGATATATAAATGTACCCCATTTCAGGTACGGAGACCAGCTTGATCTCACACGAAGTCATGGGGGCCCCCACTGTGCCGCACTGGACATCGTCGTGGTCTGTCAGGGTCGACGCGCCCGTGCACTCGGACTGGCCGTAGCCCTCGGTGATGTTCGAAGTAAGCAGGATACGAAAGAACGATAGCACGTCGTCCGAGATGGGCGCCGACCCGGTTAACACAAAACGACACCGATCTAGTCCCAACTTGGCTTGAATCTACACCGTTCAACCATGAAAATCGGATATATATAGAGTTTTATATAGAGTTTTGGACGAATCGTACATCTATATTTTGACATATATATATATTGATTTTGATTGGTTGAACAAGCAATGTATGTACTATCCACTATAGCTACAGTAACGCTAGCCATGTTGTACACATCCTCCAACAACACAAATAATCTCGATGATATATAGTAGTACTACTACTAGTAGTAGTATGTAGTTGTACTATTAATAGTGGTAGCTCAGTTGCATACTAGTCACAAATCTCACATTCCGTAGCTCGTTCGTACACTCAAACACCCAACCAATATACTATACTATTAATACTTCTCGTCATACTAATAGTCGCAAAGCGTTGAATTATATATTGTCCATTTACCCTATATTTGGACTTTTGCCAAAACCATCCATCGATTCATTGTACTGAAGTTTGTATGTAATAAAGAAGTTGTCGTGTGGTGATTGGTACCACACTAATTTCAGTCACACACTAATTCGATGGTTGTTTCCTGCAATCTGATTGGGTCAATTCTACTGCCGATGCTACTTGTATTTACAATTACTAGTATATAATTGGTTGTATCGATTCACAGTATAATTCTCCATATCACTGCAGTTTAGAATAATATATAGTACTACACAACAATATGTATCTCTATATAGATTCCAACACATGTACTGTACCTTGGAAAACACAAGCTTGTCGTACAACGGGTGCGCTTGATACCCTTGTTTCAAGTTGGCCAATTTGGTTTGCACGGCTCGCTTAAACAGCCAGCCCTTGATCCCCCCGCCAGACGACGACGACCCACCTGCCTGTATCACCTTGTCATAGATCTTGTTGAGAAGGCGGGGCACAGTCACAAAGTGCGTCGGCCGGAGCTCCACGAGGTCTTCTGTTAGCTTGAGTGTGTTGCCCTGGTAAAACCCAATGCGCCCCTTGGCCGAGATCATCACAGACTGCACGATCTGCTCGAGAATATGGGGCATCGGAAGGTACGACAGGTGGATGCTGGCCGGCGTGAAGCACACGGCGCCATCGCCGCGATTCAGCCGGTCCTTGGCGCCCGCGGCGCACGCCAGGATGTTGGCGTGGGTGATTTCTACACCCTTGGGGTCCCCCGTCGTGCCGCTCGTGTACATGAGGAAGCTCAGCGCCGACACTTTGGGGTACGTCGCCGGCCGCGGGTGCTTCGTGCCTACCAGCTCGAGCTCCCGCATCGTCCACAGCTGTAGCCCCGCCTGGCCACACAAGTCCAAGTCGGCTTGGGTCTTGATAACCACGTCGCACACGACCACATGGCGAAGCGTCGGCGCGCTCGCTTTCACTTGTACGATCGACTTGAGCTCGGATGTCGTACAAATCACCGTTGAGCCTGGTTTAAAGGTCAACAAAGAAAGATGTGGAGGAACTGGTTTGTTGAGATGGTTGCAAGAACTAGAGAAATATGATTGGACAGAAATCCGATCAGAGACCCCGACTGTGTCACACAATATATGATGAAAACTAGTATTGTGAATTCGCTATAAACTTGCAAAATTCGCCTGGTTTATCGAATCAATATTGAATCACGCGGGAATTCTGATTGGTTGAATATACTTGTCCTTTCGAGCCAATCAAATCCAATCAAAAATGGATTAGCCAATAGCGTCGATTCGTGATTCGATTCGACGAAATCTGGAAATCTGTACCGAATATACCACACAATATAACTTTACAGTAGTATTGTTGTGTTTATTCTAAACTGGAATGACATGGAAAATACAACCAAATGATGAACACAAGAATCAGGATTTAGCCAATCAGATTGCAGGAAACTATCAACAAGTCAAATTAGGGTATGAATTCGATTAGTGTGGTACTGTACCCATCACCACAGGGCACCTTTTCCATACAAACTTCAGTACAATGAATCGATCGATACATTTGGCGAGTTAGCACACAAGTCCAAATTTTGGACGTGTAAAAGGACAATGCAAAATTGTCCAATCGATTCGAAACTGGAGCCCTCAGCAGAATCGAATGTCTTAAGAGAAGGAATTAAAGAAACCGCCTGAGCCAATCAAATCACGCCATGTCGAATTATTTCTACCAATGCAAATGATTGACCCGTCACGCAAATCCATCAAATTGGGCAAAACCAATATATACTAATATTTATATAGTATAGTCTGTACAAGATTAAATACGATCAAATCGATTCGAATGCTATTTGGCGAAATGACTCTCAAGTCCAAATTTCCGTGACATTCACAATATATGATGAAAACTAGTATGTCACGGGGAACCAGCCAGCAGGTATAATATCGTTCCTCGTCAGAAACTGTATATCCCAGTCGAAAGCAAAGTACTCAAATGGATTATATAGGATGGATTCCCCAGGGATTGATATTAAAACCAACCACCCTCCGAGAACACGGAAAAAAATATATATAATTTGTCGTTTTTATGCATGAAAACAAACGCGATCGAGTATATATATATATATATATCGATACCTTGGGTTTGGGACAGAATGAATCCAGTGGACGACGCGCCCAACGTGTCGTACAGCGCACAGAACGCCCCGCCGGCGTAAAAAGCGGCGTATTGCGCTACGACGTACTCCGGACAGTTCTTCATGTAGATGCACAGCAACCGCCGGCCATCTCCGGGCGTGGGGTCGATCATGTTTTCGTGTTGTAGGCCAGCCGACAGGTTCCGGATGCGGTCGTACACGGCTGCATACGAGTCCCACTGGTACGGCCCAGCGTTCCCGGCGGCGTCGAAGCGGCGGCGGCCGAGGAACGCGCCGTCGCCGTTCGTGACCACGGCTGTTTCGAGGACTTCCAGGAGAGATGCTTGGGGGTTGGGGAATGAGCCCACCTTGTACACGGCGCCATGACCGGGGCGGACAGTGGAGGTGTCGGGCTGGGAAAAGAACGCAGGGGGACTCGCTTTGCGACCGGGACGAAAGAACAAGAGGTAGCCAGCTAAGCTGAATCCAACGAGAAACGTCAGCCCGACCACGAGCAGAGCGTTCAGGACGGGGGTTGGTGGCGGGGAAGAGGGGTCTGTGCCAAAGTTGTGGATGGGCGCGTCGACGCGGTTCACGAGAAAGTCCGACAGCGCGCCGACCGAGCGCTGCCCCTCGTACTCCTCGAACTTGGTTCCGCGGTAGAGTTTTAACGTGGGGAAGCCTTCGATCCCGTGGGTGGTGCACAGAGACTCGTGCTTGTCGCAGTCGATATGGACCACCGCGGCGTTGTCCAGCACGGAGAAGGCCGCGCTAAGTTGCATCCACGTGGGAGCAAGGGACTTGCAATGACCACACCACGGTGCATAAAACTAGATCAACCCCAGTCAGTCATGGAAGATCGATAGATTGAAGAACGAATGACCTTGGCGAACACCACATCCTTCTCGGCGAGCAGTTTGTCAAATTCGACGGCGTTCGGCGCAGGGACAGTGTGCGTCTTGAGGATGTCTTGGTCTAGCTTGGGCACTTGCGTACTCGTGACCGCTGCCGCCATCGCAGCGACCGCCACCACAAGAAAGGTACGCATGTTCAAGGCGGGGAAATATTCTGCAATGGCAGATCTTCCACCTCCCCTGTCAAAGTATCTTTGAACTAATCGGTTTAACACCCGTGTCATTTTACATTGGACGTTTGATGGAATTTGTCAAAGCATCGTATTAACGCTTAATATATTGGCGATAAATTGACTAAATGCTGCATGATTCGTAAACGAGTAGTAGTATACTGTAGCTTAGTAATACTAGTCCTTGCAAATTTTGATTTTTGACGATCCATGCATGTCCGGGTGCTGAGCTGGAATGTGTTCCTACGACCGCCAGGGATCCAGCAGCCAGGAGGCGGCGACCACAAGGACTTCCGCCTGGAGTTCATCATGCGCAAGGTGATTCAGTACGACGTGGTGCTTCTCCAAGAGATGTTTGCCATCGGGTCGTCGAGACTGCATCGCCTGCTGTCGTTTGCAAACGACCATGGCTTGGCCTACCATGCTGGGTCCGTGTATCCTTCGTTGTGGAGTCGGCAGCTTGTCGACGGTGGTTTGTTGATTCTGAGTCGCTATCCAATCTGCCAAACCAAGTCCCATCAGTTCCGCGACAGCTGTGGCAGCGACGCCCTTGCAGCCAAAGGCGTCGTGTACGCCCAGCTGCAGATCGAGTCACAAGGCACTCTTCTTGACGTCTTTACCACGCACACACAGGCAGGCCAAGGACAAGTCGCCACGACCATCCGCTGGCGGCAAATCGAGGAGCTCGCGTGGTTTGTGCACACTACGCGCACCGACGCGACGACGCCTGCGATCTTAGGTGGGGATTTCAACTTGGACGCGCGGCACAACGTCGATTTTGCGGGCGATCCTGCCAAACCTGTTATCACCAAGTGCGCCGAAAGCGTCTCGTACAAGCGCATGCTTCAACTCTTCTCCATGCGCTCCCATGACAGTGTCACACATGTCGCCAACGTGCTGGGTGCTGCACATGATGTCACCAACGCCAACGGCCATGGAGTGTTGGCGCAAACGTGGTCGAAAGAGCAAGTGAACGACATGGGCAAGTGCATCGACTACTTGTTCGTATTCGAGCCAAGTAGAGGTGGTTCTCATGGGGATGGAGAACCCTCCTCAGTTGTTCATGCTGCTGTGGACACGTGTGCACTGGATCGCAGCCCCCTGATCGATGGTGGTGTTGTCGAACAGATGATTGGCTCTGTCACACATCTCTCTGACCATTGGGCGATCACTGCGACCTTGAGATTTCCACTTCAACACAACGTACAATCGCAATTGTCGTGTCCGTTGCAATCTCACCAACTTGACTATTATAAGTGGCAGCTGTTGTGGTGGCCCTTCAAGGCCACAGCTGTCATCTTTATCGCTGGTGTTGGCGTTGTGGCCGCTGGGATAACTGTGACGCGGTATATCGTCGGATTGTGAAGCAAGGTAGCTAGAAGCATGTGCACGAACAGTAAACACGTTTCCAAGGCACAACGGTAATCATAATATATACAACGAGCAACGAATGTTATGGATCGTACAATAATACTGGATAGAGCCATCATCATCCTTGCGTGCATATTACTGTACACAAATGAATCGTAACTTATTGCAAACTGTACCGTACTACCGGTAGAACGTTACTACTGTAAGTTATGTAGTACTGTACTCCGTACTTGGAAGTATTCCGGAGTAAGCGTACTACAGCAGTAAACTAGTATTGTTCTATAAATAGATTGGTTTAGAGCATTGTCGAAACGGTTTCACAACGTCACAGTCGAAAGGTCACACGTTATACGTTATCATTCCACCTTTCGTGTATGTTTTGCCGATGGAGAACTTGGTGTCAGCCCACCATGACCATGAACTCGTCCCATCGTCGTTCTGGACGTTATGTCTCGAAAACCAGGCGTACATGGGCGGAGCAGGATGCAACGTCTGCTCGACGTCGTGCGCCGGGTCATGGCATTGCACGTAAGTGAAACGTGCACAGTTATCGACTCAACCCGTCGGCACTTGCGTCTCTAGAGAGTGCGGATTTGACTTGTGTGGGGACTGCTCTGCCACAGACCTTCCCCCGAAATCCATGACCCACCCCCAGCACCCCCACCACTCGCTAACATTTTTGAACATTGCCGAGCTTCGCGACTTGCACGCCGACTACTCGGCATATGTGGGCTGCGACCTCTGCAAGCAGCTAGCGTATTGCTCCTACCACTGCGCGTACACACATCTATGTTGTCGTCATAACCCTTCTTGACGACAAGCTACAACATATAGAACATGTTGCTTCGACTTGTGCATCTCGTGTACGCTGGGACAACTGGCACCACTGTTTGGCACGCCAACGACAAGCTTGTCCGCAGTAGTCGAGAGCTCCATCAACTGGGGAGACTACTACCAAGCCGAAACGGAAGGCACCAATGCCAGGCAGGTCGACGACAGCGAGGGTTCGTCCGAGATATATGTATCACTATCTCCTTTTCAAGCATTCTTGCGGTAGGGTTGGTCAACATCTCTCGAGGCAAGTTGGCGTCGGGCAGCTCCATGGAAAACGAAGGGTCCCATGCCACCTTTGCCGTGGACGGAAACGACCAGACGCGGTTCGCGTCTGTCGACAGCGACCCCCAGTGGCTCGAAGTGGACTTGGGGGTGCTCCACAACATCTCACACGTGTGCATTCTGTGGGAGGCCGCATTTGCTTCCAAGTACGACATCCAGGTGTCTACCGATCGGTTGGTGTGGACGACGGCGGCGTCGGTCACGGATAATCGCGACGAAGGCTGGGTTAAGACTAACCTCCCGGCCAATGTCGACGCGACGTTTGTGCGAATGTATGGCCACGAGCGGGGCACGAAGTTTGGCTACTCGATCTATCATTTCAACGTGTATGGCTGCCAGTTGGCGCCGTTCTGTACGTGATCCCAGCTTCTGTTTGGATGTGGGAAAATGAACCGGTTTGATTGTACTGAGTAGTGGAACAGGTGGTGGTCACCAGTGCCAACGTGAGCCTCGGCGATAGAGTAGTGCGGGGACTGCACTGGCCTGTTACGTCCTCGTACGATGGCGTGTGTGGCTATCCGGGCACAGTAGTAGCGTTCAAAAAACCCGGGGAACCTGCAGGTACCTAACGACCTAGTTATTACCTATATTGCCTTGATTATTTCTTCTTCGCCAAGAATTGAATTGACTTCTTGGGATTATGGTTGCAGTGCACGTCGAAGGTCAGCGGCCCTACCGCGGTCCCGACAAGTGCTGTATCGTGAAATGGGATTTGATCACCACTCCAGCGGTGCATCGGATGGGAGCATCCGGTCAATATGAATTGTATTTCCACCCCGAACATGCTCCAGGTACGCAACCCGTTTGGTCACCCATACAGTTACGTTATGACATTTTTACGTAGCTGGGGCCACGACGGACGTGCCCAACGATGCAATCACGGAAGAATTGGGGATTTTGATATGGCTAAGTGCACCAAATGCGGCGGCAACACAAGAAGATGATGTGGGAGACGAAGTGCAAACGCTCGAGGCAGCCTTGTGGGCCACTTCTCGGGACAAACGGTTGGAGTGGAAAGGCAAACTAACGGCTCGACCGCCCCAGATCACCCACGCTCTCGATAAACACCTCGTCGCTAGAGTCGTTCAAGGCAAACTCGTACAAAATGACATTCGCCCAAAACCGAACGCTATCAGCGTGTTTGTCTCGTCTACATTTACCGACACGACGTCGGAGCGGAATTTGCTCATCGCTGATGTGTATCCGTACTTGAAGCGATACGCCGCGCTGTTGGGGCTTGAATTCTCGGCGTCCGAAATGCGGTACAACTACTCTGTTCAAAACATCATGAATTTATCATGATCGTTTGGACTTGAGGGTAGCTGGGGCATCCGCGACGAAGCCAGCAATTCGCACCAGACGTCTGCGATTTGCATGGCGGAGCTCGCGCGCTGCCAAACGTCGTCACTTGGACTCAACTACGTGCTCATTCTAGGCAACAAGTACGGGTACCGACCGTTCCCCAATCAAATTCCAGTCGACGAATTCGAAGCATTGGTGGCGACGATGGCTTCAGCGGACGCCGCCGTGACCCGGCACTGGTTTCTCGTCAACGAAAACGTCGTGCCGCCGGCGATGGAGCTCCAGCCGTCCACACTGGCCGCGCCAGGCACGTGGTGGCCCATCTTTGAGCAAATGCAACGTGCGTTCCGGAACAGTCGCCATGTGTTGCCAGATCGTTCGCGCCAAGACTTGTACAACATATCGGTGACCGAATGTGAAATCACCCACGGCCTTCTTCACGCAGACGACCCGACGACCGCTGCGTTTGTGTACCACCGGGTGATCTCTGACATTGACCCCGATCATGAAAAGGCCAATATGTACGTGGACATGCGTGGCCACGGACAAGTCGACGACGACGCTCAAACGTTGCTAGCAACGCTGCGAGCCACCAAGGTCAAGCCCATGCAAATGCTCGGGTCCAAGGACTACATCGTGCCGTGGGGCCCGGAAATCCTCCCCGAAACCCATGCGTCGTACTTGGCAGACTTTTGCGACCACTTTTGCGGCATTATGTGCGACGCATTGCTGCAAGCGTCCGAGCAACTCAACGTCGCGCCCGATGCAGTGTACAACGAAGCCATGCACCATGCGCTGTTTTGTGCGCAGCGAAGTGCGAATTTTGTAGGTCGACTTGACATCCTTAGCAAAGTGCACGCATACATTCGATCGCCGAGCGAGAGTCCGTTGGTGTTGTTTGGTCGCGGGGGCGCTGGAAAGAGCGCAGTGATGGCCAAAGTCGCCATCAAACTCACGGGTAGTGGAGGAGGCGTGGCGGTGGCCGCGGGGTCAGGCCTCGCGGCAGTCGTCACTCCCCGACACGATCCAGTTCTTGTGCTCCGATTCTTGGGTACGAGCTTGGACTCGACAGACATTCGCAAACTGCTCGCGTCCATGTGTTTGCAATTGCAACGCAATTACACTACTGAAACCGCGATGGTGATTCCCCAGTCACTGGACGCGTTGATTGCACGGTTTCACAACCTGCTCGGGCTGGCTTCGGAAACCAAGCCACTCGTGGTGCTCTTGGACTCACTCGACCAGCTCTCGCGTGCCGAAAATGCTCACCACCTGACGTGGCTGCCCCAGACACTTCCTCCGTTTTGCAAACTGGTCGTGTCTGCACTAGAAGCTGCCGACGAAGGGGGGCACTGCCTGGCTAAGCTCCGGGCGCAAACTTTGCCTGACCAGATGTTGGAGCTGCCCGTGATGTCGGCTGAGGACGGCCGCGACATTCTCACCGCGTGGCTGGCGTCCCGACACCGGGCGCTAACGCCAGACCAAACGTCGTTTCTCGTCCATTCGTTTATGCAGTGTCCGCTGCCGCTGTATTTACACGTGGCATTCACGCTGTCGTTGCCCTGGACGTCGTCCACGCCGGTGGAAGCCTCATTGTTTCCGTCGACGATCCCAGACCTCTTGAACCACTTATTTGACAAACTCTGCGGCATACATGGCAAGCTACTCGTGCACCACTTGGCGGGGTACTTGACGCTGGCCAAGCGGGGGCTGTCGCGGACGGAGCTCGAAGACGTGCTCAGTCTCGACGACGACGTATTGAACGATGTGTTTCAATGGTGGGTACCCCCCATTCGCCGCATTCCGTCGCTCGTAGTCACCCGATTGCTGTCGGACTTGGACAGCTACCTGGTCACGCATGCCGCCGACGGCGGGGGCATCCCCGTCTTGAGCTGGTACCACCGCGAATTCAAAGTCGCCGCCACGGCCATCTGCCTCAAAGACGATGCCATCACGTCGGCGCTGTCCGCCACGTTGGCGTCGTACTTTGCAAGCGATTATGCCCATGTGGCGAAGCCCTTTCTGGACAAAAAGGGGGTGCCTGGGGGCCGTGCCCACCGCAAAGTCACCCCACAAGAGTTGGCCGTTCCGGGCACGACTCCAGAAAGCGTCACGTACAACCATCGACGAGTGAGTGAGCTTCCATCGGCGCTCATCGGGGCGAAAGATTGGCCTCGGGTGGAGCTCGTCCTCAGTGACGTGACGTTCCTACAGGCCAGCGTGGCCCTTGGCGCGATCTCGGACACATTGATGGACATCCGCCGAGCAATCCAAGCAATGCATGCCGACGACACCCCGCCGTCCGTCTTGCCCCAGGTGGCTGCGTTTCTCAGTCGCGACATGTTTACGCTGCAGCGCCACCCGCAGTCGTTCTTCCAGAACATCGTCGACCACCCCAAGGGTTCGTTTTTGCGGGTTTCGGCCGACGCACGGTTGACCCCCCCTCCGCGAGGGTACTTTCAAGTCGTGAGCACGGAAACCCCCACGAGCTCGATCGTTGCCTCGTTCAAGGTGGGGCCAGTGACGGACGGAGCGAGTTCGTTGGCGGCGATCGCATTTAGCCCTAACAGTTTGAAGGTCGCGGCGGTGTCCGAGCCAAACTACGCCCAGATCGTGTACTTGACGGTATTCGACGTAATCTCCAACACGGTCATGTGGACGGTTGTTGCCGAGCCCGACGCCAAGTACGATTCAGTGACATGGACCGCAGACGGCACGGCCGTGGTGGCGGGGGTGTCTAGCTCCGGGGAGCTCCACTTGTTTTCAGAAACCATCGGCGTACGAACGCAAGTGCTACATGCCCCACACAAGACCCACGACATCACAAGCGTCGTGTGTGTGGATGCCACCATCTTTGTGACCGCCGATCGCACCAAATCGGAACTGAATGTGTGGGAAGAGGGAAACGTCCGTCGCACGTTACAGATTGACGGACACGGCCAAGTGGACCACAACGACAAGAGAAGAGTAACCCAAGTCGTGTTGAGTTCGGATCGAAGGTGGTTGGGGGTGGCATCGTACAGCGGGGCGTGCAGGTACGAATGAAGATTGCAACAATATATATATTATAAATAACGTTAGATATATTCTACATTGGGGGGATGGTAGCTAACGCCACGACTAGCATTTGGAAGTGCTCGACGTGGACAAAGGAAGCGTCGTTCATTGCCAGTGAAGGCGTCAAATTCGCCAGTCTGTCGAGCGATGCCACCATGTTGGGTAATCAAGACTATCCTCCCAGTAAACAACTGCATTGATTGGATCTCACGTCGATGATATTGCAGCGGTCAATGTAGAGACGAGCAACGGCGAAGGCGCGCACGTGTTTGGAAAAGCGTTCGACCACCCCAAGCCGCTCATCATGGATTGCTTGGATATGACTGGCAGTGCCTTGGAAGTGTGTGGTCTGGCATTCCATCCCAACCACCCGTCGATCCTGTACGTGTTCAACTCGACCACGCAAATCTACGCCTTCGACGTCGTGCGGGAGCGCCGGCTGGCCATTTATGCTGCCCCGGGCCACAGCTTTGGCGGCGCTATGACCATGAGTTTGGACGGCAGTCTCATTGCAACGCTCGGCCAGACCAACAACGTGCTGCTGTGGCATCCAGGGGCCAAACCGGCGCCGCTGGGCGCCCCCGGGCGCGTGGAATCGGTCGCGCTGCATCCGAATGGGGCCACCGTCGCGGCCTGCCACTCGGGCGCCGAATCTACTCGGATTGTGGACGTGTGCAACCCCACGCATCTCGTGACTGAGTTTGTCAACACCCAAATCACATCCACCGCATGTACGCGAATGGTGTTCAGCCACGGACGAGACGACGGCGGCCTGTTTGTAGCGGCGACCACCAACACGAGCGCAGTCTGCGTCGGCCAAATCGAAAACGACCAAGTCACTACGACCTTTTACGACACGTTCGAGTACGAGTCTATCGACGTGGCCGTGCATCCGTCGGGGGAATATGTGGCGGCGCTGGGCCTCGATGCGCAGTACAATAGCCGCGGCATATTGCGGTACATTCGCCGAGTCGACGGCAGTGTGCTGTGGGAAGTGCCCGACATGATCCGCCAAGCTGTCCGGATGGGCGGCATGGCGTTGCAGATGTCGTTCTCGGGCGAGTTACTCGCGTGCATGACCCATCACGAGCGACTTTCCGTGATGGACACTGCCACGGGCGATGTGCAGTATTCGTTCCCCAATGCCGGGGGCGAACACTGCTACCGATTCACCCCGGACTTTGCTATGGTCGCGATGGCAAGTCAAGGCGGCCAAGTGCAAGTATGGACAATCGACAACGTGGAACGTCCAATGTGGCACTGCAATCCGCATGCCGACGTGACAAACATCACGGGGGTCGCCGTCTTGCCCGAGAACAACGTCGTGTTGTCGTGTGCTGAAGACGGGCATTTGTTCGCTTTGAGCTTGATCGACGGCGCCATCCTGAGCGTGTATGCGGCTACAGGGCTGCAGCCCATCCACTGCTTCGATATCCTCCCCACTCGGTTGCCGTACCCAAGACTGGCCATTGGCGACGACAATGGCCGAGTGGTCGTGTTGGATTGGATCCAGCAAAACCAACCGTCGACGAGTGGAATCGCATAACTTACAACCGCCAGAACCTATGGGGTTCTTACACTACTAGTAGTATATATTAACAGCAACAGCTGTAAAATGGGATGGCTTGGACATGCAGCGCCAAATAGAATGCTCGAAACCTTGACATTCCGCGTGATAAGTTGTAGTAGCCCATGCCCCATCAACTAATTACAGCCTCGCCCCGGCACAAAGTACTCGTAGCACTATATTTTTCACGTTGATGCGTATTGACGTTGTTCGTCGCAGGCTTTATTCTAGTAATAATACTAACAGTTATAATATAGTATGTCAATTTGGACACTGAATTTTCACTTTTTTGGGGTGCGCCACCAACGGCTTGCACTGTCACATGCATGTAGTTAGTACGAAATCGTCAATGCATCCACGAGAATATAAACACTCTAGATTTCATCCGTGTCAATAATATTCGATCTACATAACTTATATATTAATTACACTGCGTATATACAAATCTTTTCTTTTATATTTTGTTTCCATGTCAGTGGTCGCGGGTACTATACTGTACAGTTTGGTGTCACGACCACATGGACATTTCGTGGGTGTGAAACCGATCGTAATGAATGGCCACGCCGCCGTCGGGTGTAAACTCGGCACAGTCGGAGAAGTGCTCGTTCACGACAAAGTCCTCCGACTTGTACGCTTTTCTCGCATACACGTTGGTGGAGAATGTGTGGTCGATGCCCGAGTACAAACACAGCATCTGGAGGTTGCAGTCTCGAAAGTGGTCTTCGGTTTTGAACTTGGCGAATGGCGACCGGTTGTCGATGATGTGCACCAGTGTCACAGGGATGTTAATGGATGGGAACGTCACGTTGACCAGCTCCACGTCGTGCACTTGGCGCAAGTTGGTATGTCGGTTCACTTCGGTCACACCGACCCTACAAAACCAACACATTGAATAAACAAAAAACCACCTTGAATACCGTTCACACAATGACACACCATACAAGCGCCAGATCAAGGAAGTACCACGCCATATATATATATATATATATATATATATATATATATATATACCGTATAGTGTATATGTATTGCGACAGATTAATCTATTGCGACTCCTGTAATAACTGATAATTTTCTTGTAATAATTGATATTTACTTGTAATAACTGATATTTACTTGAGAATATACTTCAAATTTGTATGACGCAATGGATTAACAAAATTTTGAGAACGAGTGTCGGCCGGTTGTGAAATATTACCTGTCGCAATACATATACACTATACGGTATAATGGATTCGGTACAAATCTCCAAATCGAATCTCGTCTTCTTCACGACGAATTTGACGCTATTGGCTCATCCAATTTGGACTGGGCTCGTCCAGAAAACGGACAAGTATATTCGGCCAATCAGAAGTTCCAGCGTGATTCAATATTGACGCATAACGTTACTGTGGTTTGGAGTTTATTGCGAATTAATCACAATTAAATGTATCAACCTTCGCCCACTGTAATAAACACCAAAAACGCATATATGCGACAACCACAAAACACTCGAAACAACAACTTTAATTACTGCAACAGCAAACACACGACGGACAACGACCCATCACTGACCGTCATACACAAGGCAAGCCCATTTTTACAGACAACGAACAGCACCCACATATATTATATATATAACACCCACAGATATATATATATATATATATAACACCCACATATATATATAACACCCACATATATATATAACACCCACATATATATAATATATATAACACCCCCACAGATATATATATATATATAACACCAACAGATATATATAACACCCACAGATGTATATAACACCCACAGATATATATAATATATATATGCCAAAGAAGGGGTAGAGCCTACCGGAACGAGTTGCCCGAGATGTTGCCGTGGGTGCGCAGGTTGAGCGCGCGCAGCAGCAGCACCCGCTGGCCCCCTCGGACATGGGTCAGCACCGCCTTGTTTGAAAACACAATGTGCGCGCGGGGTCGAGAAAATTTGGACCACGATATGCCGGTGAAGATGGTGATCACGACAATGCCAAGGGTGGACTCGACCATAATCCAAAAGTTCTGGTATGTTGACGAGGGCTTGGGGCCGATGGCGCCGTAGCCGACCGTGGACAGCGTGTGCACGCTGTAGTAAAGGCACACCCCAAACGCAGTGTTGTTGTTGAGAATGTCATCGTAGACAGATACCCCGTCCACCTACATTGTAGCCTTCAAAACACTGAACATTCATGATAAAGCATCCCGTTTGTAGGCTAGCGACGCAGTAGTAGTAATGGTACTAGGTATGTGACTGACCAACCTCCAAGTAGTACACGACGGCAAACAACAGGTTCAAGGCCACGAACGCCACAAAACTGTACACAATGATCTTGGGCCAGCTCGTCTTTAGCGCTTCCGTGTAAAACGTGTGAAATGAAAACGGCAGCGGCGCCTGACGCGGATAGATCCGGTCAAAGTGGGGGGCGTTCTCGACATTAGCTGCCGCCGACGATGACACTATCGACGCGCGCAATGTGGCGGCGTCTTGTACGCTGGACAGTTCGTGGTTGAGGAGGCTCTGCGTGAGGTGCTCGGGGTTGTGGCGAGAGTTGCGGCCAAAGCGAAGCGGCGCCGATTCAACGGACGGCGGCATGTCGACGTAGTGGGAGCTGCCGCGGACGGGAGACCCTAGCTGTTGCATGTCCAAGCTGTCGTCTCTGAGATCCCCCGCGGTCGACTGCGCCACCAAGTCTTTGATGGACAACTGGCGCGACTTGGCATAGGCCAATTGGCGCGTATGGGGAGCATGGCTAAGCGGAGATGACGTGGTGGGGGACGTTGGTGGATGTACTGGAATGGGCGCTGGCACGGTCGCGCTGAGCCGCCCAAAGTCCATAATCCACTGCTCTTTGCCCGCATCCCCTTCGACCATGCACATGTCTTGAAATTTCACGCCCCATTCCACTTGCAACGCCGAGTACAGCATTTGGCCTTGCACTGTGTTTTGAGTCGTCGCGTCGACGCCCACCAGGTCCACTTGAATGGCAAAGTCCGACGCAGCCAGTGTTAGACCAGTCACACCGTACAGAGGGCTAGACCTGTCGATGAGGTGCACAAGCTGGATGTCCCGCCGCACAGCGAGAAAGTCGGCTTGGAGCATGAGGAGGTCGTACCGCCGCAGCACGTGCGTCCTGTCGGTGGCGGACGTCTCCTCGATTCGCATGAGATTGACGCGAAATGACGCTTCCAAGATCGAATCGGCATGTAAATCGTGGCAGCGCGTGGCGTTGGCTACTCGAATCACGAGCGCCAAGTGACGACCGTAAGGCTGGATGATGCACTGCTGGGAAAACACAGCGCTGGATCGGGGCTTGGAGAACCGGACAAACACGAGACCGCTGAACGCCGAGATGATGATCATGGAGATGAAAGCTTCGAGCGACAGCGCCAAGTTGCCGCACGTGTTGCGGGGATACAGGATGCCGAATCCAATGGTCGAGAACGACTGGTAGCTCAAGTTGAACGCGTCTTCGAACACGTCCGTGTCAACGCAGACAAAGTGAAACACGAGCGCAAACAAGGCTGTGATCAAGGCCGATATGCCGAGAATCCACACTGTGAACGACGTCCACGAGATATTGATCAGCACGTACACCAAGTCTTTGTACGCGGCTCGCGGGTTGTGCAAAATGTGGTGCCGGGCATCGAGGAAACTGGACCGAGCTGTCGTGTGAAAATACCGGTCATGGACACCTTTCTTGTCGCTTTGGGAAGCGAGGACACTCACGCCAAGCCACTCGTCCTTCCACGTGCCCACGGCCTCGAAGTGCGTTGCGGCGGATAGCATGCTCGAAAAGAAGAAATGCTGCTCGTCCTGTAACCTTATTGCGTTTCAAGTATCAGGTGGGACAAATGATTTAGGGTAAACCCATTCCTGAGACGTTAAACCCGAACTCCTTACGAGCGACCAACTACAGTACTACACACAGTGCCCCGAAATACAGTACTCCGGTGCACTAGTACTACGTAGTGCTAGTACTAGTACCAGCTAACGGTACATGTAAAACCAACTTGTGCGACGTCCTTGAGTATTGCCGTACTACAGTACTACTACAAACAAACGTTTACCCATAAGTCTGACGAGACTACCACGTAAGATGCGAGTTAAAGGGTATTACCTTGTGAGTCCAAGTACAAAACGGTATTTCCCAGTTGGACCTGTCGACATCGACTGGTAAAATCTCCTGCAATTTGACTTTCGCAGCACCTCATACAACGGCACCATTGATCGCCGCCGCCTGACCATTAACATTGCTATGCTGGGTAGCGAGGAAATTGTGCTTTCAATGGCTGCATGACGTTTGGAAAGGAACTTTACCGGTATGCGGGAGTTAGGTTGTCGCTGATAGCACGGTTTGGACGAGTTGGTGGTAGTTGTGTGAATTTGCACTTTAACGTGGGAACGAAGGGGTACGTACATATATATATATACACTTGAAGCAGCAAGTTACACTCACATCGTAAAGTACAGTGTAGTGAAAACTCCGCAACGGCGCATACTATATGTACAAGTTGTCGACCGTAGCCTTTCATTCACTGTCAATCGGACAGAGTGGCCAGTTCAGGGTCCAAGTGATATGAATCACATGAAATACATACAGTACATACAGTACATATAGGAGGCAGGTACAGTAGCCAAATCGATGGCGTGTGAGTGAATCGCATGGATCTGCCATTCTTTCGCATTCGAATGAAATAATTGGTCAAAGTAAATGATGGCAACTCCCCGCCGTCCAAGCTGAAGTGTTAGCAGAGCCTGAAATGGCTACCTGCCTTCTGTATGTACTCGTCTTCCCGTGAATACATACATATAGGCCTAGGTACTGTACAGTACACTGTAGAGGAACTTGTGCATCTCCCCATCGCCACGCAACTGGATGCGATCATCGATACTACATAAGTTACAACGAAATCTCCCTAATTGTTGGGTTTATTCGACCGTTTACGTTAAACCCATCGATAGATTGGCGATTCAGCACAAAAGTCCAAATTAATTGGGGTAAAAGTCGACAATAATAATAATATACGTACTCCTCTGTGAATCAAGCGGTATAATTAATATATTATGTCCATGGAATACCCCAGTTTTATCAGTATCAGGGAAAGGTGGCATATTTATTATTCCTTCTGTTTAGCCATGTTGGCGGCATGCAGTTTGGATTCTGCTTGGTGTCGCGCCAACTGGGCTAGCGACGGAAACTTGCGTCGACACAGCAAGCAACACTTCGGAACTTCTTTCTGTGGACCTGCCGTGGGCACGGACGGAATATTGCTGAGGTGGGAGGACGTGGGGTTTGCAAACTGCGCCCATTTCGCTTGCTTGGACTCAAGGCCACTCGACAAGATGTCGGCCACGAAATCGTCCGAGTGAACTGGCGGCGGTGACGGCGGACGGCTGGCGCGGGTGTCGTCGAAGGTGCGCTCGAAGCCGCGCTTAAGGAAGTCAAGTTCGGCCTGGCGCTCCTCTTCTTTGAGAAAGTCGGCGTAGATGTCGGCAGCAGTGCGGGGTTTCCTTGGACGTTGTTTGGTCGTTGTGGTGGTTTCTGGTTTGGAAGTAGGCGGTCGAGCCTGTGGCGGACGTGGGCGCTTCTTGGAGCCAGAAGTCTTGGCCAAGTATTCGTGTTGCAACGCCTCGTCCGATAGGCATTCATACGCCACACTTAGTCGCTTGAATGCGTCTTCGGCGTCTAGAAGGATGCACGTGAAGACTGCAAGTATGTGTGCGCGCATAAGTACCTTTGTGTGGACACTTGTCTGGGTGTACTTGACGCGCGAGGGCTTTGTACTGCCTTGGACAATGTGAGCTTGAACGACGTACTTCAGTAGGTGGGGATGGTTCTTTAGGTACCTGCGGACGGCCGACAGTTCCACATAATGCACGGAATCGAAGCCCAGCACATGGTAATGCGTTCTACGGAGGATACACGTGGAGCACAAGAGTGAGCGATAGATGACCACCTACCGCGACTTCAGAATCCGCTGGACTTCTGCCATGATGATGCCAGCAGCAATGTGGTGTTCAACGATTCTACCGTGTACCGCCGTTTGATTGGATACAAAATTCAATTGAACGTTTCATTGGTCAAAATTCGAACGCCGCCAAGACGAGGACAATCCACCATGTTGCGACGACGATGGCGGTGGGTGATGTGCCTGGTGGCCCTTCTAGTGACATGCACGAGTTGTGCTGAGAGCGACGAGGGTCCCGTGCATGTTGAAGCCCATGAGTACACGTTCCCGGAGCGGCACCACGGTAGGCTTGTTCCCGTCTGTGTTGGTTGCATGACATGCCGATTGGTAGCGTCGCCGCCGCCGCCAGACATGGACATTGAGATTCACTCGACCGACATTTCTGGCAATATGCTCCGCGACAAGATAGTACGTCCAACGGAATCGCAGGCAAGCTCAAGTGCGGTCGAAACACGTACGGATCCATGTTGAAAGATATCGATGTGTGCGGAAGACCACGTTTCCTCGTCCATCGTAGATGTTGCCCACGAAACGTCGGCGTCCATTAGCGCCCCCAATAAACCGGCGCATGTGCACTTTGTTCCTGTTTCGTCCACCAGCCTTGGCCTAGTCGACATTCCCGACGCGATTGTGCTCACCCCCGACCAAGTGCGCAGTGCGTCCCTGGTGGTTCAAGCGATCCTTCTTGGTGGGGTCATCGCCGCCGCCGTGGTCGGCAGCATCACGTACGTCGTTCGATCGCGTCGAGCGTTGGATGAAAGCATCGAGCGCGTGCATCGGCTTGTGGACGTCGCCGCCATCCGCCGCGCCATCGACACGTCCACGACCGCCGAGTTCCATGCAGCGGCCACGTTGCGTCTTCGCGTGCTGACATTTCGCAGCAACGTAGATGCCGTTGTGGCAGATTCGACCCAGAAGGACTTTGACGCTGATCGGTGGGTGGTGGTGAATCGGGCCACGAAAGCGGTGGAACCCACAGACGTGGCGGCGCTGTTGGCGCGGTTGAGTGTAGCGATCGACGAAGGCGACGATCTGCTCCGTGAGCTGGCCGCGCAGGACTGTCCCGCGTTCAAGTCCATCCAAGAAGCCATTGCCAGCCACGTCAAGACGCTGCGGGTGCGGCATGACCACATATCCGAGCTCAAAGCGACCATTCTGGACAAACTGCACCAAGCGATCCGGTCGTCGTCGTCCCAGCGCAACGGGCTGCAATTGGACGACTGGACGCGGTTGAAAGAGCTGTGGGTGGCATTGGGGCTGCCTCAAGCTGACGTGGTGGCCCCCCACGGATGGTACCAGACGATTCTGCGGGATCTGGAGGCCAAAGACGCCATGCTGCGCCAACTGGCCGAGTTGAAGCAAGCTGTCATGTTGCCTTTGCTGTCCACTTGGGCGGCAAACAAGGACGACGACGAGGTGGTTGTTGCTGTCGATACACCCTCCGTGGCCCTCCGTAACATGAACATGCTGCTCAAGGAAGCCAAAGCCAACCAGTGGAGCCACCCCGAGTTTGACCAGCTCGAGAGATTTGTACTGCATACACATAGCCAAACCCAGCAACAGCACACGATGGTGCTAGCGTCGTCGGTAGCCCCCCTATCGCCACCAGCCATGCTGCGGACATGTGGACACCACAGAGGCGGTGCGCGGGATGATGGAACGAGTGGTGAAGACATTGGTCGCGACCTGGCCATGCACGACGAGCGCATGAAGCTGGATTTTATGATCCATCGAGAAAAGCTCTACTTTGACAAAATCAACACGGATCGCATCCTGCAACAGGTATTGTCTGATATATGGACTTTTGAATCTATTGTCGATTTGATACAAATTTGGGGAGCGGGTGCAATCGAATCGCGCCGACCACACCGATCCACAATCGATCTGATTGGTTGTTGAATTTCATTGAGAAGGTTTTGGTTGGCTAATAATGTTGAGCTCATCTGAGGTAGCCAATCAAATCGATTTAATTTCCAACGAGAAACCACGCCACAATGAAATTTCACTCGAAAGCACAATATATCTATCCATTCTTTGTACTAAAAAATTTTGTATGCAAAAAGTGGTCCTGTGGTGATTGATATATCACACTAATTGAAGTCACACACTAATTCGACGTTGATGATGGTTTCCTTCAATCTGATTGGCTAAATCCTTCTGACAATGATTCTTGTGTACATGTATCTGGTTGTGTTGATTCATAATTCTCCATGTCGCTCCAGTTTAGAATAAATACAATACAATATAGGCGATGAAGTTTGCTAGAGCCACGAGTTCTATATATGTATATATATATATATATAGTGAAAATATTCGCAATAAACTTGCAAAATTCGTGCGGTTTGTCCAATCAATATTGAATCGCGCTGGAGTTCTGATTGGTTGAATGTACGTGTCCTTTCTGTAAGAGCCAATCAAATCCATTCAAAATTGGATGAGCCAATAGCGTCGATTCGTGATTCGAATCGATTCGACGGGGTCGGGAATTCTGTACCGAATCCACAATATATGTTTCTATTTATATTATGAACCACGAAATCCACCATAAAATGTATTGTAGAAAGTTGACATCCACATGAAAACATATATTGTGCATTTCACCCCAATTTGGACTTGAGGGTCATTTTGCCAAATACTGTAACATTCGAGTCCATTTGATCGTACAAACTATTATGCATTACAAATATTAGTATATATTATACCAATAAGTATATGATTTTGCCCAATGTAGACTAGCTGGGCCGAATCAAACGCTTATATTGGCAGAAATATTCTTGATAGAACATGGGATATGATAAAGGCTCAGACGGTTGTTATTTAATCCATTCTCTAAAACACATTCAATCCTACCAATAGCTCCAAGTTTGAATTTCGATTGGACAATACATATATATATATGTTATGAACCGCGGAATCCACGATTGAATGTATTGTAGCAACTCGACATCCACATGAAAACCCTTGAAGAAAGCCAACGGCAGTTTCACCTTCAAGCTCGGGACAACCGGGAGCGAGAGGAGCGCATGTACCAGCGCAAACTGGACGATGCGACCAAAAAACTGGAGCGAAAGCAAGCAGAAAAGAGGCAGCTCGTGGCCGACCAAGCCGCAAAAGACGCCGCGACGGCGACCGCCAAGTTCCTGGCACTTCGAGTGCATGCCGAATGGAAGTTGGTCAAACGTGTGCTTGGCATCAACGTCGTGGTCGTGGCCTTGGTGGCGGCGCTAGTGTGTTGGGATGCCGTCACCTCTCGAGAGTTGCTCTCGTCTACTTGCGACGTTCGGACATCATATTGGACTCCCACGCATCTTTCCGTGTACGTACATATTTGGTACTCTAGTGAATCGTTTAAATTGGCTCACGATGCCGGAAATGTATGGATAGAATTGGGTGTCAAATCATGTACGGCGCCAAGGTTGGGCTGGCGATGGTATCGGGGTTGGTGTTTGTGTCCATCTGTTCGTACTTGAACCTGTCGTTGTGGGGCGTGAGCATTCTTGTGGCCACCGCGCTATACATTTTTCGGTACTCTGATCCAATATTATTACACTATATGATGATTTGGTTTTCAATATTGATCGTACGTACACTTAGGGCGTCGTGGCAACATGTATTGTGGCGACTGCCGCATGTGCTGTGGCTCGGAATGTTCAACTATACAGTGGGGTATTTGCTGGCACACGGTGAGTTGCGTATAGATTGCTCAATCTAACATCGGGGGGGGGGGGTGATTCTGTAGATACACGACACTCGTGGAGTGTGCAACACATCAATTGGAGGCCCGTCGTCGTGTACATTGGCTACCCCGTCGTGTCGTTGGTGGTGGCGCTCGTGGTGGGGATGTGGATAGCGTGCGATGTGCCCGTCGAGTGCTTCCATGCTGCTGTGGCGTGGTGTGCCGCGCACATATCGAGTTTGTACGAATAATAAATACACTGCCGTATGTGTCGTTGATATCTGCATCACATGAAATATAGAACGCGAATATTGTGCGTTCGAGTGAAATTTCATTGTGTTGTGACGTGGTTTCTCGTTGGAATTTAAATCGATTTGATTTGCTACCTCAGATGAGCTCAAAATTATTAGCCAATCAAAACCTTCTCAATGAAATTCAACCAATCAGATCGATTGCGGATCGGTTTGGTCGATTCGATTGCACCCGCTCCCCAAACTTGTATCAAATCGACAGTACTTTAGTTGATTTCTTGATGGGAACGTTTATGACGGGGCAGAACATTCAACTTGGCGGGATCCTGTGAAAAATTATATTCTGATTTCTATGGCAATAGAAATTTATGCAAGATATCAATTTTAACACTTTTTTTTAGGGTTTTCTCATCCAGACATGCCATATAGTCTATAATCGTAAGAGGTGTATTGTTTGACACAGGAAAATGGTTCGTCAAAAGAGAACGGTCATATAACATCGTCAGAAGAGAACGGTCATAAAACATCGACACATGTCCATTCTCTTTTTGATGTTGTATTATACGTCTCATTTTCAAATTTGCTGTGTCGAAGACATCCGGATATCAACCGGATAGGGCGGCTGGCGATCTTTCCTGTCGAGTGTGAATTGGCATTACTGTACCGATTTCGGGGAGTTACGCGAGGCAGTGTCAAAAGGCCCGCGCTCCTAGTAGTTGGTGGGACCGCTTTCGGCCTCGCCCACCGATATTGCTAGGCCGGATACCGGCGCTGCTTTGTTCCCTTGGTATTCGGAGGAGTCCCTGAACTCATGATGCTCGCACGGGGGGGATCAACGGTGCCTGATGCCAACAAAGACACCGGCAAGGTAAATCGGCAAATTCATTCAGATCTCAATACTAATGAAGAAACATGTATTTAGTTATTCGTTTCCATCGACGTCGAGAACGATTTCAAGGTTTGTGTCCAGGACCTCGAACGTCACCAAGTTCTAATATGTCTTCTAGTAGGTGATCTGCAACGGCGTCGTCATGCGCATCGACCCCGAGGTTAGTTTCTTCGCATGCAGCATCAATGATTTGACACTTGACAAAACCGCTGATGATTGTTGTTGCAGGGAGCGTGTCCCAGGCTTCCGAAATCCACTCCACAAGGTCCCATCGTTCAGGTGTGCCCATGTGGAATGCCTTGCCACCCCCACCACCTTTGAGTTGGATTTGGGTGCGTAAGAATGCGACCCATTGTCTTCTCATTGTCGCCTTGATAGGTTTCATCCATGCAACATCGGCCGGTTGGCACATCCAAGTAAACGTTGGAGGTACGCGAGCCAAGTCGACGTGTAGCTCAGCTGCCCGTTGAACAACATCATCAGTGAAATGAGCACTGAAGTCGTCCCATAGGAGAAGGACTTTCTTCACGTTTTGTCCACGCCGATGGCCAAAATGGAAATCCAAAAACCGTAAGGAAAAGCCGCTATTCCACCATGCTGATGGATTGCCGTAGATCTGTAGCGGGAAGTTCTCTTCCAAAACTGACAATTTCCTTCCAAACGCGACGACCAAATCCATTCCGTTCGTTGAGATTAGCTTGCACGACTGCTTTTATCTTTGATTCCGCTGTCTTTAGGACAAGGAAAAGAGGATACTTGGTGCCCTTTGCGTCGGCCAATACCATTGCTGTCATTCGGTCCTTCTCGTGGCCAGAGCACTTGATCCACACCGTCTTTGCGCCCTTGGTGTTGATGGTTTGCTTCGGTATGTATTCGTAATTGATTCCAGTCTGATCGGCGTTGTAGATGTCTTCAATGTCGTTGTCCTTGATTTGCTGGCGGATGGATGTCTTGAATGCTTCGAGCGCTCGCTTGCCGTCCTCAAGGTTGGCTTGTCCTGATCGAGTTTTTGCTCTGATCGCTAAACCCCATCTTTTTAGGAACCCCTTGATCCAGGAAGCGCTTGCTTTGAATTGGTGGTCGAATAGACCTTCGTCAGAAGCAACTTCCATGGCCTTGCTGGCCAACAACAAATTGCTTACGGGCACTCCATCTTGCCGGAGTTCTGCCACCCACTGTGCTATATGCTCTTCCGCAGTGTAGGACAGCGTTGTGGCCGTGCCTTGGCGTCGAATCGTTCGATTGTTGCTTGTTGATGCTTGTTCGGCTGCCCTTGTTATGTGTTCTCGCTGGGATTCCCAGCGAAGAATGCGTTTCCACATGGTTTTGTATTGCGTTCCAGTCACACCGGGGAAGAACTTGTCAATTGCTTCTTTCATGGAGTGATACTTGCCCCAGTTGATGATATGCAGCTTCTTTGCATACGTTTGGAAGTCGCGTTGATGTTTGTTTGTGACTGCTTTCGTGTGTTTAATAGCTGGACGACCTGTTGCAAGCCGATGATGTTGCCGATGGTGTATTGGCGCCATCATGGCAATTTGCCGCCTTGTTCAAATGGGTACATTATTCATTATTGCGAGTATTGTCTGTGCTGAGGGATTGTCAAATTTTATATGTCGCTGAGTTGTCAATGTATTGTATTATACAGGTATTTCCAGTTTCCAATTAAGAAATCAACTAGTATGTATAATGAAATAATTCTTCAATACTGAGTACAGGCTCAAGAGAATGAAACCATTGCAATGTTTAAGTACATGGTCAAATTGATTACTTGGTGCAAAGGTCGTACGTAGGTATGCTAGTTAAAAACGGTAGACTTTTTTACGGCTAGCATAAGAATTCCGGATGATTTGGTGGCTCATATGCGCCGGTTTGTTTTGCGATGCCGTCCGTCCATTGTGTTGCATGTGGTTCAGGTTGACTTGGCCTTCGAATCACTGCTTTTATATGTGTAGTTCATTTAGGTGTTTGGATTGAATTACTAGTACCGGTAACGTATAAAACCAGTTTAAGATAACTTACACTTAGCCAAATTAGGATAACTTGTATTACCCAATCACACCTCGTTATTTGTTCGAGTCAAAACCTCTGTGATATAATGCTGACAGTTCCGTCACGCGAATGAAATGCAAAAACGGCATAGAAGCCATTGGTAATAGTCATGAAATACCCTAGTCGACACGTGCCACATTGGGTAGGATCAGACGTTGTGTCGAGTGTTAAACTCGGTGGTCATCATAAATATAACTCTATAAAGCAATACCCTTGTATAAATTGCTTTCCTGCGAACATAAGCCTGGTATATGCGAATATCCTGTATAATCCCATCGTATATTCAACAGGATGTTGAAAAACTAATACTCGGACACAGTAGGAAGTCGAAGCGCGAGCACCAAGTCATATCATGACAATAAGATAGTCCATTAGCCATGCAAATCCTCGCAAAGTGGTTACTAGTACTAGTAATTCTACATACACGACGACATGGCTGTCAGAGCAAAGTGGAGCACTGAATAACAACCTAGTCGTAACCGCTTACAGTACCCTAAACTCAGAATTGAGTCTGTTAACTGTAAGATAAAAAAAGTATTCCTAAATTAGTTATCACAATGTGAGTACAAATGCTTAGAAAGTATTATAAAAAATTACCTGTGAAGCACATCGTCTAAACTGATAACTAGTTAATAGTAAGTTGGATTATGAAGTGAAAGCGGCGCGTCTTGTCTATTGGAATCACTCCTCAAAAAACTTATCTTAAATTGGTTTTTTACGTTAAACGAAACTAGTAGCACCAGGGCTGATGAAAGACCAACTATTTCAACACCACATTATAAATTGATAAAACGGAGTACCACCGCAACCACTTTGATTGAATTTTGGGGCAAAACTAGACACGACCGTGGTGGAAACGAAACTGATTTGCAGCATTGTGACTACGAGGACTCGACCAAAACACATCAGATTATGCACCAGCCACGTTAGCCCCTACTACTGTATCTCTCGTTCATTCTATTTTCCGCGCCCCCAACTGCGCATTGTCGAACGAATACACATGAATCCGATCCTTGGATCCCCCTGCGGCCACGAACGCTTCTTCTGTGGTTGCGATGAAGTCAGCAGGGCCGCACACGTACAAGTCGCTATGCGCAAGATTTGGCGCAATGTCTTTGAGCTTGTCGGCCGAGACAGTTGGCGCATAGTGGATGGAACTGGATTCCCATTCGATGGGCTTTTCTGTAGAGGTCACCGCAGAAGTGTACGCGTCCACGTCGGCTTGGTTGGGGGCCACTTGCAACGTCACGGCGCTGCCGTGGAACGATTCTCGAATGCGATACAGTCCCTCCAGCATGACCAGGAATGGCACGCACCCCACCCCATGACTCACAAACACGACATTTGAGGGAATGGATTCGGGCGAGTCGATCTCAAACCGGACGTTTGACTCAATCCAGTACAACTTGACGGTCGCTCCAGTCGCTTGGGTGACGAGCCAGTGCGACGACGCGCTCACGTCGTCCACGACAATGTCGATGGTGTTGGTCCCTTCGACACTGAGTGAGGCAATCGTATAGTGCCGCTTCACTTCTCCCCCTTCGGCGACAGGCAGCCCCAGAAGAATCGCATCGCCCGGATGGAACCGCAAGTTAAAGTCAAAGGTCAACGTGAGTCGCTTGGCCGTCGCTGAAATTGTCTCCGACTTGGAGATCGTCGCGGGCAGGCTTTCTGTGATCTCGACCGGCTCGTTGTTTAGGATCACGGG